ACAATCTGTTCAAGTGGGGTCTCTCATACGATGACCTTTGTTTAAAATGCAAAAAGACTGAAGATGTGCTTCATGCTTTCATTTCATGTAAGGCAAATGAAACCTTCTTTGCATATTTAAAGGACTTATTTTCACGTGCTTTCAATCTTAGAATAGAGATAGATATTGTTTTATTACTCAAAATGAATTCGCAAACCGAAATCGATTTGATAATGACTATTGCTTTTTGGTCGATTTATAAAATGATTATTTTTCGTAATAAGTATGGGTATGATAATAGAGATTTGAGTTTGATTTACTTATTTAAGAGAGAAATGACTAACAGAATAGAAATAAACGAACATTTGAAAGTACAAAATATGAAATTTCCTGCGAATTTGCTTAGTTATATTTGAATAAATAACTTGTGTATTATTGATGTTCCATTGATTTGCTGAATTGTAAGCAAAATTATGTTATTGTTTGAATATTGAATAAACACCTCTAAGAGGCAAAGAGAAAAAAAAAATTATTGTATACTCACATGGGGTAGCTCTATAACCATCATGGACAAAGTTAATGTTGTACAAAAACGGGCTGTTATATAGAATAATAAATCATAGTGGTTTTCTTGCCCATACAAATTATGCTTTTCTATAATTGTAATATTCTTAAAATATCTGACTTGCACTTATAGTTATATAATCTTGGAATAACTATCGAAAGATGATTTACCAGATGCTTTCATCCCTTGTTTAAACGCAATTATACTCTACATCTTTATCCTACTAGACAGACAAACCATTTTCATCTCCCTCGAACTCGCACCGTTTTTTGCTAACAAAACAAGTATTTTTTACTGGACCCAGATTCTGGAACAGCCTGAATAACGAACTAGTTGAAAGCCCCTCCATTAATTCATTTAAACGAAAGCTCAGGTGTTTCCTTTTGAGTAAGTATATGTACAAAATTAATGTAGATGTCGTGCTGGATCGTACAAGTGGTTATACAGACTTTGTATTTGTTATTTTGCAATGCCATTGATTTCATCAATTTGAAATCTCTTCTTCTTCTACTTCTGCCTCTTCTTCTTCCATTTCTTTTTCGTCTTCCTCTTCTTCTTCTTCTACCATCCCTTCTTCACATTCTCCTACTTATCATTATTATATTATTTTCTTTACTCTTTATTTTGTTTCTTTTCTTCTCAAATTCACTCTCCTTGTACGTCTGTATAATCTCATACTACACTACTCTGTTTTCGCCTCCTATAATACCTTTTAAATTCAGACATACTATTGTGTTACTCAGTACGGGAGCCTATTCACATACACACTATGCTCTTTATTTAGGCTCCCCACATTTTACACTGTATTACCTTGCCTATCATATCTATATATTTCGAAACGTCGTACCTATTTTCCGTACATTATACTTGATTTGAAATCTTTTAATTTACGCTTATACGCTTGTATAAAAATAGAAAGATTTGAACTGTTTTTTTATGTAAATGTGGAACAAATAAACTTCAAATTCAAACTTCTATAAAATAATTTATATTGATCACGACTATTTTACGAATTGATCTAAATTGGACAGGTCTGTTCATGAAGGCGGTTTGGAGTGAAATAAATCATTGGTAAGTCAGGACCAAAAAAACAGGAAAAATAGCTTGACGAACGATGGTCCTACCTACTCGCTTATTAGTTTTATATAAATACAACATCCACAAAATGTAAGTTTCGAGAAAACAATGTTTTTTATAGTTTTATTTTAGATACTCCTAAATCTGAAATGGACCTCGGTCCTATCGTAGTATTGTGTGCCCCCTCTCCCCGATAATACGCCACTGAGCCAGGCATATCGAAATTCCCCAAACAAATTATAGTCCCAGTTCAGATGTAAAATTAATAAGCAGGAGCAGGAGTACGAAACAAACTTCCTTACTGTATTAACCATTGTAATTTTGCTTTGTACATACCATTTCTGTCCTCTGTAGTCTGTGTCCTAGACCATTGACCAGGGCGAGACCCTACTCTATCTGAAACTCTCACTTTATACAATGTTAAACATACGCTCAATACCAAGGCCACAAGGAAGAGAACAAACTTCCATTTAATACGAAGAACTATGAACATCATACTTTACAATATCAAAAACACAATGTAGAGAACGAACCAGCTTCAACACAATCATGCACCAAGAACAAAACAAAACAAGTGACGGGGTTAGTACGGAGTGAGCCACACTGTAAAAAAAGTTGGGCAATATTTGTCCAACGCTTTGCCCAACTATAGGCGCGTTCGCGGGGGGGGGGGGGGTTAACCCCCCCTCAAAGTATGGTACTAAAGGGTGACCAAAAAAGGGTGACCTTACCCCCCCCCCCCCTACTGAACGAAATATCGGCTGACATAATTGTCCAATAAAAATATGTGTTCTTACACCCCCCCCCCCCCACGCTTATTCAGCGGCTGGCTAAGTCGTTACGAAATTTTTCCTCAAAAACTGGGGGGATGTGCTCTTACCCCCCCCCCCCCTCTGCTTATTCAGCGGCTGGCTGAGTCGTTGCGAAATCTTGTGGGCGATTTTCAAATTTTAAAACCCCTCCCTCGAAGAAAAAAATCCTGCGTACGCTACTGCATTCATGTACATCGCACGTAATAGATCGAAGATTGGCAGCGTGTTGGTTTACGCACAACCAGCTGGCCCATGTATTGTTATTTTTAATTAAATAATGAATCAACGGTCACCGTATTTTTTTTTAACGTGGAGCTGCATTGGTATCGTATTGGCTAATTTTCACACATTTTGGGGTCTAAAAGGGCACTAGAATTGTCATAGATAAGAATAAGACCAAAAACCATGCACTTTGAAGGCATTTGCGGTCTGAAAACAGAACTCAACTATCCCTTTAATAAAATAAACAAGCATGCTTAATTTTTTTTTTAAATAAGCTGAAATCCGACTCAGTTTTGCACAACCTAAAATTTAGAATATGGTCAGTCACTCCCCTCCATGCGCGCGCATTTCACACGCACATCCTCCCCCCCCCCCCCCCCCACCCTAAGTTTTTCCCGTTTTCGTCGTTACTGTCACTTAGTGCCATTTTCTTGTCTTTCTTCCTTTCTCACCCGGCTCCTTTCTCTTTTCTCTCTCCCTCTCTCTCTCTCTCTCTCTCTCTTTTCTCTTCTTTCTTTTCTCTTTTTTTTCTCTTCCCCTTTCTTTTTTTCTTCTCCTTTTCTTCCTTTTATTTTCCTTCTCTTTTTTTTTTATGGCGCCGCCAATTGGGGGCGGCCGTTTCGGCCCCCCCCCCCTCCCTTGGATCCGCCACTGGGTTATGAAAAAGATAAAAAGACTATTTTTGTTTGTCAATTAAGATCCTCCATCACTACATGTAGTCACTTTCTGCATGGCGTTTCGACTCGTATATCATTGTTTATTGAATCCCAGAGAACTGTCATTGCCACACACGCATACACATGTTCTTAAACACATTTATGCATTTAAAATGACAAAATATTATAAAACAGAACATATAAAAGTATAAAAGTATAAAAAATTAAAGATTACATCACATATTGTGCACAAGATATAATGACTTTTCTAATCAACTGTGCATATCATATCGTGTATATCATATTCAGAAACAAATATACGATTATTTTGTTGTTATCACATGTTGTGTTTTGACGCATGCATTTCATATCCACAATTCTGGTAACTTTAGCCGCACATTTAAATTTAATTATCATATTTAGTTCTTTCTTGAAGCATATATTAGAATGTGGCGTATATAATAAGGGCGATCGAAATGATATATGATTATTTCATTTCAGCATAAGACAGGCAAACTCTAAATGAGTGATCACAATATTATTACGCATATAATAATAATAATAGCTAGTTCTTATATAGCGCTTTTCAGGACCGAAGGCCCTATCAAAGCGCTTTACAGATATATATATTATTACCCCGGTCATAGGATTCAGGCTTACCCGCACACAATGTATGCACATTCTCCACTCCCTGGGGAGCATTCCAGCCAGGCGTCTTTTTCACAAGCGCACACGTGCTAATCTAACCACATTAGCTTTCGCATCCTACCGGGTACCCATTTACACCTGGGTGGAGAGTGGCAAATGTAGATCAATGCCTTGCCAAAGGACATTAGTGCCGCGGTGGAAAGTAATTGTGACGTTCAATTATAATCACAATTTTAGTTATCAATAACTTGAAATGGCTTAATCTCTCATAAGTTCATTTACTCCTCCATTCATATTTTGGCGTTGGATCGGATCTTAAAATCATTATACATCCATAAGGGGGAAAAAACTTGAAATAACAGACATATTTTATAGATTATATTATGCACGAACTACCAATAATGATCGGCATAGTGGCTTTGTACTTTTCTGACGTATATACAGAGGCGGCGGAGCGACTTCCAAAGTGGGGGGGGGGCACCAACAATGAAAAGAGGCACTAATGAGAATGAAAAAGAGGCACAAATGAAAGGAAAAGTGTATTTATTGAAAGAAAAGGGGCACCGATCAGATTTTAATAGGGACATTTATCGGAGGTGAAAGGGAGCTCTTATAAGAAGGGGAAGTGGCTCTTATTGAAAAGAAAAAGAGGCACATGTTAAAATCTTATAAGAAGGAAAAAGGGCATTTATTGGGAAGGAAAAGGGGGACGTGTCAGAATAAAAGGGACGGTGTGTGCGCTCTATAAGTTTAAACTATTATTATTATTATTATTAAATTATTATTTATAAGAGATGAAAAGAGCACTTATCAGGAGGGGAAGGGGCACTTGTCAAAGTAAAACGATTATCTCTCAGAATTGAATAGGGTCATTTACAAGAGATGAAAAGGGGCACTTATGAGAATGAAAAGGAACTATTTTCATAGATGAAAAGAGCCACTTATGAGAAGGGAAAGGGGCACTTATTAAAAAGGAAAGGGGACACATGTGAAAATATAAGGTGCGCTTATCCGAGTTAAAAAGGGGAAGTTATTAAAAGGGGAAGGGGCACTTTTTACAAAGCAAAAGGGGAACCTCTTAGATTTGAATAGGGCAATTACCAGAGGTGAAGGGGTGCTTTCCTATGTAAATAGGGGCACTTTTGGGGTACTTGAAAAGTGGGGTTGGGCACTCTACCACCCCCCCCCCCCTTCAGGAGCGCCGCCTCTGCGTGCATATACTCACTTGTGAAAGGGAGGAAGTCTAATAGATCCTAATCAATGTATCCTAACAAAATGACATGATCGCCGATGGGAATTAAAAGTGCCAATTTTTTTAAAAATGAACACATTTTAGCATGTCCAGCTCTGAGATGCCCTTGGTGACTGTATGTAATCATCAGTGATAGTAAGTGCTCATAATAAGTTCATCTAGCATTAGTGGTTACTTGATTCTTAAATTGTATCCCCCTTTAGCTTGGTGGATACTCTCCGATGGAACTTGACCCAATGACCCATTGTCAGGTTGTAAGCATTCTATACAGCTGAGGCACCAGTTGGATGCTGGTAAGGAGCGCCATAAGGTGGTGACATGGATGATATTTGTGGAGGATAAGGTTTAGCTGGTTGCGGGGGATATTGATTGGTGGCAGCGGTGGGATTGTAACCTGGTTGAGAAGGTGCAGGATAAGCACCTGTTGGTGGAGAAACCTGTCCAGTTGGATATGGATAGGGTTGTGTTTGGTATGGGGCACTACCAGCAGGTGCAGGTGGAGGTACGCCAGATGGGTTACAACTGAACGAAGCAGGTGTCTCGGCAGTCGCATGGCCATGAACGTAGACGGGTAATTTAGAATCTCCAGACGATGTCATCGGAAACTGGTTTTGATCTGCACCCTTAGTACCCTGTGATACTGCTGTGTATTGCTGTGGAGGTTTGGGTCTCTTCTTACACATTCCCCTGCATGAGATGTAACAACCAGCGCATATTGCTATCACGACGAGTATAACTGCTATAAGACCGCCTGCAACGTCAGCATTGCTCACTGGTGATGCGGGCTGATCACAGGTTTCTAAGACAACAAAGCAACAATAGATGAAAACAATAAATGTAACGTTGTTATGATACGCAATTGGAGGCCGGACGAACACTGAGAAGTTACAATTGTGAAAAATAGAATTAGTTCTGAGTAGTGACGCTATCATGCAACTAAATCAACATGATCAAATAGTTCATACTCCTAATATATATATTTTTTTAAATCTCAGTAGCAGTATGGATGGTCAATATACAATATATACTTGCTTGTTCATAGTTCTAAAACGGAGTTAGTCCCAGCCTCCCAGGAGAGTCATTTTCGTCACTGTAATTCAGTTTCATTTTCAGTTTTATTTTTCATTTCCAACATAACAGTAATTTTGACAAGAAATCAGATATACAATTCAACATTCAATAATATAATACATTTGACATGGTTTAAAGTTGTGAAATAGAAAGTATACATAGATATCCAGTAATACATTGTAACCTGAGTTCTCAAGCAGTATGTTTTTACAGTCATTCTCTCTAATCACTTATTGATGCACATTTTGGAGACCTGGCTGTATATGGATTACTTTTTGAAAATGAAAAGAGAGACTATTTTACATTGATTACTAATTGATAACGTTCTCCACGACAATGTGAGAAGATGATTACCTGGTTGTATGGAGCAGCAGATGCTAAGCACATCATCAATTCTACATTGTCTTTCATCTGGATCATTGCTTAGATGTGAGAGATAGAGGTTATCACAGCCGTCAATACGATCCTCGTCACCAGCACAATTGGCAGTGTAATGTTGTCCACTGAGGTAATCCGGCGCTGAGCCGAAATAGTCATAGCCATAGACGTATGGTTGGGATGTATTGAGGCCGAGTTGACGACAAGCTACGGCCGATTCGTTCACACCGAATCCTATGCTACAGAATGGAGACCAACCACGAGAAGTCCCAGAGTAAATTTCAAGGCGCCCTCTAAGTCGGTCTGAACCACCGTCTAACCTGAGCTCACCCGTCGGGATAATCTCTATGGAGGAGGAGATGGAGGAGAAAGAAGAGGAGTAAGACATGTGATTCCTCAGCATATACTTACGATATTTTGAAGATTGTATTTTATACTTCGTGAATCCGATCATTCTGGCTGAGATAAAAATGACTGATGCAGAAATCGCCTTTATAATTATGGTTATCAGATACATCATGGTTGGGACATAGCTTCGAATAGGAGCAAGTCCATATAGGGCTTATACCTGTGTACAAGACAATTCACTCGATATCTGGAAAATCTAACATGTGCCATAACATTATAAGTTTAAGTGGATATAAGTAATATTCTCATAGGTTATATGCCATAATCAGACCAAGAGCCAATCAAAATTTTACCAAATTAAAAGACATGCTCGTCAAGGAGACTTCCTATTATTCGGGGGACTCTGGATTAACTTTGACGGATTAAACAAAAGATTAATGTATATTTATAATAAGCCCCACCTCCTTTGCAAACGATGGCAAGGTCTTCTTTATGCGTGTAAAACTGCACGAGTATCCAATCGAACTGATAGCATTCAGTAAGTCGGACCTCGTCCCCGTAACAGGAGATCCTTGTCACTAGAACATACTCCGAGTCAGCCGGTGTGAAGATCATGCTTTTATCACGTACAAACTCAGCCTCAGTGAAGGGTAAACCCAACTCACGACATGCCACTCGGGGAACACTGTCTCCCACAGTTTTGTTAGATATCGTGCTCCAAGTGGAGTTGTAGTAAATCTCTAGACGTCCATAGTAGGTCGTGCCGTCAGACAGCCGCAAATCACCTTCACCTATAAATGTTGAGAAAATAATGTTCGAATGAGTGCAGAATCATCGCTATATTAAAGACATTTCATAAAGTGTGTATGGTGTGGGTTTTGGCGTGTAATATCCTTACCCATAACAGTTTATGATTATATGTCCGTAAAGTAGCACTGTTTGGAGTTCTTTCTTTTCTTCTTCATCACAGCGCAGTATAGAGTACATAATTATATAGTAGCTGTGCTATATGAAATTATCTAAATATTATTATTAATATTATCATATATGTTATCATATATGTAGTTTACAGGGCCCATTCTTTAATGAATATTTTAGGTCTGTTGAACAGTATCAATAACTGACGCTGTTGTCATCGGAGGTTATAAGAACATCGGGACAAGTAACCCTTGACCACAACCTCAAATAAGTATCCCGGACAAATAACCCTGAAAGTTGCTCCGGAATAGCTATCTGCAGACAGATCCGTTAAATTACCCTGAATAACTATACCATCAGGCGGCTCCCGCCTAGGACAACTATAGTTGCCAAGGCAGCTAGCGAGGAAAACTAATTGTTTTTTGCCAGGGGTATTTAATTGTTCCAGTGGGTAGTTGACCGGGTTAGATGTCTAATGGTAGGCATCGTGGTTTGTGCATGCTAGTCTGATCTAGAGAGCAGTTGACTCATTGCCCTTTAATTTAAAATAATTATGATGATGCTTACTCTGGGCGAAACTGCTTCCCAAGAAGGTGATGAGGCAGACGATGAGAAGAGGGAGACGATATAAAGATGGCATTTTCACACTTTAACCAGTCGTATCACAGATGAAGAACGAGTGAATAGTAAATCAACCATTACAGCCAAAGACCATTAATCAATAATTCCTGCAGAAAACAAAGGGGCGACACAGCGAAAAATTCATACACGATACACAAATCTTGTTTTCCGTGCTGATGTAATGATTCTATTCGCAGGATTTTAATGATAAAACCTTTTTTTCTTTTTTTTTTCTCCTGCTTGTTCTTCTTCTTTTATTTCGTCTTTTACTTTAACTGACATGAGTGAGATAGTTTATTGGCAACCCTCTCTTACCCTACTTCCATTCACCCCTCGCCCCCCCCCCCCCTTCCCTTCTCTCTCTCTCTCTCTCTCTACTCTATCATCTTCGTGTTAGGATTAATACTACTTTGAAGATAACTAGAAAAAGAGATATCTATTGTCTGGCAGGATAAAATCACAACTTACAAGATACCCCCCCCCCAAGAATAAGTGTAGGTATTCTGACAAATGAGATATATTGGTCTGCCCTTTGATGCACAATATACCTTACGAAAGTGTACAAGCGATATATAAATGAAGATATTCTTGGCATGATGTAAATGCCTTTTAGCATGACATGGGGCGCAGCCATTTTCTTGAAAATGTGACGTAACAGACGAACTTGTACATGCATCATGCACCAGGCTTTAGTTGGAAAGACTTTTTAATTCAATAAAAAAACATATATTTTTCAATGAAGAAAAATGATAGTTGAGAAGGTAAAAATTATACTTGATTAAAAATACATAATTATAGCACTTAAATATTCTATTTCATTTATGCGAAACCTTCAGCCCAGAACAGCAGGCGCGTAGCCACGGGGGGGGGGGGGGGGGGGGCAACGGGGGGGGGGGCACGTGCCCCCCTAAATTTCCAAGATCGATTGGATTTTTTTTAGACCCCTTTTTTTTACCTCGATCGATTACATGTATGTGCCCCCCAAACATCAAACTCTGGCTACGCGCCTGCAGAACAGCACCAACATATTTATGCAATTTTCATTCTGACACTAGTAGAACAGATAATAGCAGTTGAATGAAATGCTTCATCCCCACACACACACATGGGAAGGGAGAATCCATAACTTTTGAATACATTTACTTGATGCGATGCCCATGTCTTGCTGAAAAACTGTACATTATTTTTGCTTTTCACCTGTCTCATACACTTTGTTAGGAAATCTTGTAGATTAATGGGCAAGAATTCAATAAATCTCTCAGAATAACAACATTTATTTCTCGGGGGTGAGGTTTCCTTTAAGATGAAAGACGTGAATGATGATGTATTTACTGCATCAAGTGAAATTTAATGAAATTCGCTACACGTATAAGCGAGGCTATACGTCTGTATACCCTACGCTTGCATAATTCTCGTTATGTGATATTACACACAAACATGTCTCTTTTATGAAACTGATAATCATATCAATGAATAGATTTCTTACCATCTGCAATCCAACATCAGATGAACATTGTTAGAAGCACCGTCATTTTGGTATAATTCGCTGCACCATATCATACCATCGAAACCCAGGCATCCATAAAGCACCAGCGGCGAGCATACTACACACAGCTATCCAATATCAGCCACGCCTTAGATGCTGATGCATGATGAACGCCTACAGACGTTGAGTGAATTATAGATGAACGAACGCTGCCTTGAACCAGGCGCGGATCCAGGATTTTCCAATAGGGGGGGGGGGGGGGGGGGGGGGGGGGGGCCGGAAATTTGAAAATTGCGCAGACCTTTTTTAACTCAACATACCAATACTGACGAGGTCATATTAGAAGCACCATACCGGTAATTTTTTTGACATTTTCATCGGGGGGGGGGGGGGGCTGAAGCCTCTTGCCCGAAAAAGTAATTTTCTTAATCCTTGTCTGAATTGATTCCCCCCCCCCCCCCTCTCCGGCGCGAAGCGCGGAAGCTTTGACGTTTCATTAAATTATTAGAGAAAGAAGACGATTCGTTGTTCCGTTCTCGGTTCTTAATCATTGTCTGAATTCAGTTTTCCCCCTCTCGCGCGAAGCGCGGAAGTTTTGACCTTTCATAGTTTATTGAAATTATTAGAGAAAGAAGATAATTCGTTGTTCCTTTCTCGACCCTCAATCCTTCTCTGAATTCAGATTACCCCCTCCAGCGCAAAGCGCAGAAGCTTAACGTTTCATTAAATTATTAGAGAAAGAAGACGATTCGTTGTACCGTTCTCGATTCTTAATCATTGTCTGAATTCAGTTTCTATACCCCCTCCCGCGCGAAGCGCGGAAGCTTTGACGTTTCATTGAATTATTAGAGAAAGAAGATGATTCGTTGTTCCATTCTCGACTCTAAATCCTTGTCTGAATTCAGTTTTCCTCCTCCCGCGCGTAGCGCGTAAGCTTCTGACGCTTCATTAAATTATGAGAGAAAGAAGATGATTCGTTGTCCCATTCTCGATTCTTAATCCTTGTTTGAATTCATTTTCCCCCTTCCGCGCGAGGCGCGGAAGCTTAACGTTTCATTAAATTATTAGAGAAAGAAGACGATTCGTTGTACCGTTCTCGATTCTTAATCATTGTCTGAATTCAGTTTCCCCCCCCCCCTCCGCGCGAAGCGCAGAAGCTTAACGTTTCATTAAATTATTAGAGAAAGAAGACGATTCGTTGTACCGTTCTCGATTCTTAATCATTGTCTGAATTCAGTTTTCATACCCCCTCCTGCGCGAAGCGCGGAAGCTTTGACGTTTCATTAAATCTTTAGAGAAAGAGTACCGTTCTCGACTCTTAATCCTTGTCTGAATTGAGTCCCCCCCCCCCCCTTTCCTCTCCCGCGCGAAGCGCGGAAGCTTTGACGTTTCATTAAATTATTAGAGAAAGAAGACGATTCGTTGTTCCGTTCTCGGTTCTTAATCATTGTCTGAATTCAGTTTTCCCCCTCTCGCGCGAAGCGCGGAAGCTTTGACCTTTCATAGTTTAATGAATGAAATTATTAGAGAAAGAATATAATTCGTTGTTCTATTCCCAACTCTTAATCCTTCTCTGAATTCAGTTTCCCCCCTCCAGCGCAAAGCGCAGAAGCTTAACGTTTCATTAAGTTAATAGAGAAAGAAGATGATTTGTTGTACCGTTTTAGACTTGTCAAAAATGTTTCTTTGTCTGCTCCTTTTTTCGTCCCCTTACTGCCCCTACCGCCCCTAGCTACGCATGCTTTAAAGTGAAAATGAAACAATCATGATTGTGATAGCATACATTTAGGTCAGTAGAAATGAAAGGGGAAAAAAATCTTTTTATATACCAACCATGAAATAATCGCGACCGGGAGCGTCATATCTTAGTTTTGTGTTATCGGGCGAGGGCCGGGGCGTAGCGACCAAGCGAGATTTTGCAATGTAGAATGCTGAAATTATGCATTTTAGAAAATCCTTTAGTCCAATATGTACGTTCTTTCCGCTACATGTATATTTCTTTCTAGCTATATATCTAAATTTTCGGGGGGACGTGTCCCTCTATCGGGCCCTGGATCGCCGCCGCTGTCCATTATCACTACCAACATGAGTTCAAATATAAGCACAAGCGAGTTGGTATGAGCTGAATCCAAATGAAGGGCAAAATAAGAGTTGTGAAGCGGCCCTACCGTAAAATTTGGCTGCTTAGTATATAGCTTCTATTTGAAAGACATCCAAAATATTGTGCCCTTTTCATTTTTTTTCTTCAAAGAGCAGGGGCTGTTTGTAACGTTTAACTTTGAATCCGTGGCTCGAGATTTTATGCGGCCGGCCCGGCCCCCTCTATTCAATAACGTTTCCCAAGCCTTCTGGAATGACCCCAAATCTCCCGATTACAGTTTTTTCCCTTATTCGTCGTTACTGTCACTTAGCGCCATTTCCTTGTCTTTCCCACTTTCTCACCCGACTTTTCTCTTCCCCTCCCCCCCCCCCCCCCCCCCCCCCCACTCAGTGTTATCTAAGGTACGCGCATGTATGTTCCCTCTCTTAGTTTGAAAGCACCCCTTTATCTTCGGTGTGTAAAGTCAGTGCGGGCCGGATTTGTGTGTATTACGGGCCGGACTTTGTTGCGTGAAAAGTAACCCTTCATCAGAAATTTTGGAAACACAAAATCGGTCCCTCCGACCCCGGAGTGGGAGTGAGGTGGGGGGGGGGGGTATCTTCTTCTTTTGTTCTTTCTCTCTCTCTCTCTCTCTCTCTCTCTTCTTTCTTTTCTCTTCTCTTTTCTTTTCTCTTCTCCTTTCTTTTCTCTTCTCCTTTTTTTCTTCTCTTCTCCTTTCTTTTTTTTTTCTTTTTTTTTTGCACCGCCAATAGGGGGGGCCGCGGCCGTTTCGGCCCCCCCTGGATCCGCCACTGCTTGAACTAATGTATATCTACCATTACTCTTAAGATCGCTCTCCCCCCCCCCCCTCCTCTCTCTCTCTCTCTCTCTTTTTCTCTCACTCTCTCTATCTGCCTATTTAACGCCGTATTATGATAAACGGCTTTGCTGCTTTTAACAGCATGCCTATGAGTAGCATGCACGCTGAAACTCGTTTTACATCTTAAATAGATAACAGCATTAGTTATCAACATTTTTTACAAGCCTTGCTGGCCTGCGAATGTGTATGTGTAATATACGTATGTGCACAGCTTATTAGACTCTCTCTCTCTCCTCTATCTATCTCTCTCTTCCTTGACTCACACCAAGCCCTTCTCCCTCTCTCTCTTTTCTCTTTCTCTTTCTCTGTCTCTCTATCTTTCTCTGTCTCTCTCTCTGCGTCTATCTCTCTCTTCCTTGACTCACACCACGCCCTTCTCTCCATCTTTCTCTCTTTTTCGATCACTTATTATCTGTTTGTATTTCTGCAAAGGTTTCGCGAACAAAGACAGCATTATGTTTTACCAATCTTCTTGCAATGATTATAGCATGCATTAGGCTATATCATCGTGGGAATAAACTGCTATAGTTATCACAATAAAGTATGAATGTTAAAATAAAATTTCAAATAAACGATGATCAAAGAATATTATCAATTTTGAGGCAACAAGAAAATATAAAGAGGGATGTTAACAAGTTTAAAATAACGGGTAGAATTATTAAGTTAAAAGCGACGTGAAAATAACAGAAAGAAAAAGAAATAGAGATAGAAGAGAATGTGATCAAGAAGCTAATAATTTACAAAAAATTGCCCATTTACTCTGGGCTTTCAACTCGGCTGTGTATTCTACAAACGTTAAGGCCAAAATTGATATGATTTTATTTAACCTCGAATAAATAACTTTTACAACATTGTTCAAAACGCAATATGCAAAGTTTCGGTTTGCTCGGCAGTGAACCGATTGCCCCTTTTATTCACTCGCAGCAACTCCCTCTCACCCTCTCTCCTTTCCATTCATACTTTCTGTATAATCTGCTCAATCTTTATCTAAATTACACTATCTCTTCTTTTTAACTACCTCTTCATATTTCTCCCCTCCGATTGATTGATTATATGGACATTTAAAACATTAATCATAAAAGAGAGAATACAGAACTCGAAATGGATGACCCGGCTCTATCTTTCTTGATTCTCTCTCTCTCTCTCTATTTTTCATTTCATTTCATTTCATTTATTTTCCACATTAAAAACCAGAAAAATATACAAGGTAAAAGATTACATTATACACATTTGACACATAGAGCAAAAGAAAACAGATACATAAGCATAAAAGAACAATGAAAATCTACATCAGTTAACAAAAACATCAACATTAAAACATAAAAAGGTGAGTAATGTAGATGGGGCTAGAAAAAGCGAAGCTTGTCGAGTCTAGCCCCGGTAGCAATGAAGGGAAGTCCACCCTGAGAATGTGTGTGGCCAAGTAAAGGCGGAGTAAACCCATCCTCAGGGTGGACTCTCCCTTCAAATGTCTGGTTTTATAATTAGATTAAATTGACCCGATGATAACATAATTGCGATTTGAAACATAATAATAATTGTTTTTAATTGATTTGACTATTTAGAATTGCAGAGATATTGTTTATATTTATACTTAAATTGTCGTAATGATGCAGATTGTTTGAGACTGTTATCTAAAGTAGACCATGTAAGGTAACCCTGATACTTAACACTTCTTTGGCCAGTAGCAGTTCTGTAATAAATGCTATGCAAATTCTTGGAGTTTCGAGTGTTATAACAATGTACATCACTGTTGCATCTAAACCAGTTTTGAAGTGAGTTTGGTAATAGTCCCTTTTCAGACTTGTACATAAATTCTCCCAGTTGTAACCTACCTAATTCATATACAGTCAAAACCCTTAATTGTTGGTGTGGGCCAAATAATGAGACTTGGCAACTATGCGTATTACACGTTTTTTGCAACAAATGTAAACGATTTAACAATTTATTTGATGCATTTATCCATAGCATATTACCATATTGTAAATGAGGGAGAATTAATGAATTGTATAGCAAAAGCAGTACCTTTGACGGTAATACAAATTTCAGTTTTGACATAACTCCAGTAATTCTCGAGATCTTTAATGCAATATCATTAATATGTAAAGACCATGATAACTTGTCATCAATATTAACTCCCAAAAAGCG